CCAGGGCCCAGGCTAAAACCAGAGCCAGGGGTGGGACCAGCCGCCGCCGTCTCCGTCTCGGCGTCCCGTCCCCCAGAGCGCCCGGCCGCAGCCGCCGAAGAAGCGGAAACTGCCGGGTGTGCCCGACTCAGAGTCGCGCCGGCCAAGAGCGCGCTGAGGAGCAGCTTGGCGGCCACCGTCCGGCTTCTGGACCCACCGATCAGCGCCCCCTCCCCACATCTACCTGAATTCGCCCGCGCCCACCTGAGCAGGTCTGCTGGCGCCATGGCGGAGCAAGAGAGCCTAGAGTTCGGCAAGGCGGACTTCGTGCTAATGGACACAGTCACCATGCCCGAGTTCATGGCCAACCTCAGACTCAGGTGAGGGCGGAACGACCGCGCAAAGGTTGCGCTTTCGCGAGAGGGGGCGCCCCGATGGTGCGACCGAATTGGGGGTTTCGGAGTGGCGTGCGCCGAACTTGAAGGGCTGTGCTTTCCCCAGAGGGGCACCCCCGGGGTGTGGCCGGTTTGGGGTTGTCGGGAGGTAAGCCGAGTTTGAGGGCAGTACTTTCCCAAGAGGGGGCGCCTCTGGGGTGCGGCCGAATGGAGGGTGTCGGATGTACAGAGTTCCAGGGAGCGCCCTCCCGAGAGGGGCGCCTCCAGGGTGCTCAGCGGACTGGGGTTGTAAGGGGGCACCGGGCTCTAGGGTGCGCTTGGCTGCCCTGCTCCAGGTAAGAGATGTGGGCGGGGCCACTTCCAAGGCTCCGCTAGAGCCTGTGACCTAATGGAAATAAAAGCAAAGGAAAATAAAAACTTAGAAGAGTCGTGACGGCCCGAAGGCCCTGGGAAGACTTGGAGGGTGGTTTCGGAGAGAGGCAAGCGTCTCATCTTGGTTTCACACGTGCAGCTTTTCTTCGTTTTCTTTCTTTCCGTTTTTTTTTTTTCCTGCCGTGGTTTCATCAAGTCATTCAGGATGCTATGGAATGATCCCTGAGCTGTGTGTTCCGGGACACTGGCTATTTTTTAGTTACTCTCTAAACGTAATTAGACACGTTTCCAGACATCGAAGAGACTGCTACACTTGCCAGTGCCAAGATAAACGGTCTGAATTTGACAAGGCGTTCATGGTTTCAGTTTTTGCAAGGAGTTATGGATGAAGCCCTTGTGTTACTGACATCCCTGAAATGTACTCACAACTCGACGCCCCAACATGGTCTTCCGAGAAATATTTACTTTAGAAAGTCTTCTATATGTGATTCTTTAATTATTGATAGAGACACGTGAAAGCAGTTTGAAGTAGTTTGCTTTTTTTTTTTTTAATCATTACAGTAAATAGAGTTTCAAAATAGCTCAGTTCTGCTGTCTGTGTGTGTGTGTGTGTGTGTGTGTGTATGTATGTGTGGTTTTTTATGGCAATCTTTTGCCCTACTTTTTTGTAAGGTTTATAGTTGAACTTCACTCCTTCCATTTATAAAGTGAAAATCATAATCTAGATTTGAGTGTTTACCTGACCCCAGTTCTCAATATTATTTACCTCTAATAATTTAAGAATTTAAAAAACTGTTTCAATCTTTGAAACTGCAAACTCCAAGGAATCTTGACCAGCTGTGGGGCATACTTTGTGATGTCCCAGGGCAGCAAACAGGGCACAGACTGGAGTTCTATCCCTGCCTACTACAAACTAACTGATCTCAAACTTGCCTGTGCCTGAATTGCCAAATTTGTGAAATAAAAAGGTTCTTTAAGATTTCTTTCAGTGCCCGTGTGCGCTGAAATATTCTAATATTTCAAGGTGCAATAAGTCTGAAACTTGCAAGGTATCTTTCTGGACAGAGTGTTGCAAATTGCAATAGTAGAATCTTGAGTTTTACATACAAAGTGTGATGGTAGGAAGTTAGATGACTGAGCAAAGCCTGGATTCCCAGGTGTTACCAGAATGACTTTAAAACTTTAATCAGTGAAAACAACCTACCTATACATCAGCTGTAACCAATACCTAATATTCTAGTGCTTAAGAGTCAAATTGTTGAGATTCAAATTCTAGTTCTACCACTTGCTGTGGGTCTTGAGCAATTTACTTAACCTCTCTGTGCCTCAATCTCTTTTTTTCTATAAAGTTTGAGTTATCCTAAGGGTTAAATGAGTTAGCACATGGGACTTGCAAAGAATGTGTTGTTAGCTGTCATTTAGCTGGCCTCTGACTCTTGGTAATCCGATGCCCACCAGAACAAAATACTGCCAGGTCCTGCACCATTCCTATCATCTTGTTGAGGCTCAGACCATTGTGATCCATGGCGTTTTTACTGGCTGATTTTCAGAAGTGGACTGCTAGACCTTTTATCCTAGTACATTTCTTTGTAGATTTACAACCTTGGAACCCCTGTACAGAGTTGGTATGTGTTGGAACCAACTCGACAGCACTTGACAACAACAAAAGTGTGGGAGCTAAGCAGAATCCTGTTCAGCTTCAGAGCACCTCACAAGGCTCCACTGGCACACGGTGGTGGCTGCACAGGTGCAGCGTTGACCCAGAATGGAACCCAGGTCTCCCGCATGGAAGGGGAAGATTGTCCCACTGACTCTCTGCCCCCCTCCCCCTTTGCAAAGAATGTTGCTCTGCTGTTCTTGTTAAGTGCCCTCGAATCTGTTCCAACTCATAGGGTTTTTGAGGAATGGCTGGTGGGTTTGAACTGCCGACCTTGCGGTTAGCAGTCCAGTGCTTATCATAAACAGCACCACACCAGAACTCCTTGCAAAAAATACACATTAGCAGTTTATTAACTGTGTAAAGTTTTCCCAAGTGCCCTTAAAGCAGATAACTAACCAAAACTTACTGTCATCGAGTCGATTGCTACTCACAGCGGACATATATAGGACAGAGTATAACTCCTCTTTAGGGTTTCTGAGACTGTAAGTCTTTACAGGAATAGACAGCCTCATCTCCCAAGGAGGGGCTGGTGGCTTTGAACTGCTGACTTTGCGGTTCACAGCCCAATGCTTAGCCCACAGCACCACCAGGGCAGATAAAGGAGTACATTAAATAGCAATCTTACAGACCTAATGGTTTTTAAAAAATAATTTAAGAAGGCGTCCACCTTCCCACCCTGTCCCAGCCCTCATCCAAGAAAGACGAAAGACTTTGAAAAGTGCTTTTTATAAATTAATCGCTGAGTTTATAATCATTTCAGTTCATCAGACATCAAGTACATACTCAGACATGACAGGAATAGTTGAATATGGAGTCATTCATTTGTGCCGCCGTCTCTCACCTTCAGTAAACATGTGGCATCAGCCATGGCTTTGTATAATTTTCGGAATTTGAAACTGGAGGCTTGGAGACAAACTGGGTTATATTAGTGATATAGGATTGCTCCTCTGCAGTGAAATAAAATCTCATGTGGGTGTGGCTTTAAAAAAAAATAAATCTGAGAAGCACTTAGAATTATTTTTTTGAGATTTTTACAGATGATTGGTTGCTAAGCCTTCAAGTGTGAAGTTTGAATCTTAAGAAAGATGACTAAGATCAGCCTAACTTAACTCTAGAGTCCTGATGTGGCACTGTAGGATAAGCACTATACTGCTTTATAACAAGGTTGTGGTTCAAAACCAGCTGCTCCTTAGAAACCCTTTACGGGGTCACTGTGTATCAGAACTGACTCCATTGCACTTAAGAACAACGACTTCTGTGTGCACAGATAAGAGTTTTGCAATTCTACTTTGTGCAAGATACTTTAGGATTCCAGGTGGGGAAGTTCAGAGAACTGTAAGCTTGCTCCTTTCCCCTCAGTGAAGAAGTGGCATTTAGACATTCCATTGCAGAAAGGTAGAGAGGAGAGATCAGCCTTACAGGAACCAAACCCATTGTAGTTAAGTCAGTTCGGACTTACAGAGACTCTATTGGACAGAGAAGAAGTGTCCATAGGGTTTCTAAGGCTGTTCGTCTTTACAGAAGCAGACGGCCACATCTTTCTTCTGAGGAGTCTCTGGGGGATATGAACTGCCGATCTTTGAGCTAGCAGTCTAGATCTTAACCACTGTACCATTAGAGCTCCTAGCCTTATCGATTCGCCAAGTTAATGGTACACAGTAATTGTTGTGTAAGTTTGGAGGAGGGAGAGAGCCCTTAGGCTGGTTCAGAAATAACGTGTATAGGAGGAGCAGAGGAGTTGAGCTGGGTAGGACTTGTTTAGGTGGACATAAGGGTGGAGAACATTCCAGGTGAATAAAGTAGCATGAGCAGAGGTGTGGAGGCATGTAAACTGACTCTGTTTGGGCGACAGTGAATAAACTAAATTGGAGGGAAAGAAGTTGGTGTTGGGAGTTGTGGGAGGAATCACCAGTTCCCATTAGCACACCCCTTGGCTACTTCCCAGATTTTCAGGTCTGCCTTTCTACCAAAACACTAGTCAGACAAGGTCTCCGGTGTTCAGATGTGTGTATTTCATGCATGTGTGTACACTTGATGACTCTGCGGACTGGTTGTAACGTTCATTGTATGGATCCTTGATTGTTCATGATTTGCTTATCCTTAGTTAGAGGGTCCCATAGAGACCCAGACCCAGCCAAAGGTAGCATCCTTTCCAGCTGTAAATCCTGATCCAGGGAGTTTCAGATAACTCTGACATCTCTCAAGACTATTTAGCACTCAACTTCTGGGCTCATTCTTCTGTGACACTCTGGCACTTGTGTCACTTTGCAAAGGTGACCAACTGCCAATTTGAGCGCCCTTATGCGATGTTGAATTGCTTTCATCTGGAACTTCAGTGGTTGGGGCATACCTGGTACATGTCCAGGGTTGTAGATATGTGAGCTTTAGTATATTACATCTGTCAGAGGATGTGTATATGGAATTCCCAAGTGTGGAGGTGCCTGATCATTTCTGCCTTCCCCATGCTGTGACTCTACCTCTCACTCCCCAATTTGGAATGTCCTTCCCTCTGCTCTCCGCCTGACTATTCTGCAAGACCAGCTTCCTTCACTGTGGTGTGTAACATACAATTAACGCGTAAGCTGCAGTTGCTGCAGGGGTCTGTGTCATCCAAACGTGACTCTACTTCCCTTGACAACAGCCACCTAATTGAATGCTGGGCAGTCCCAGGGGACATTTTTTGTAGGCAGAGACAAGGAATGTTTCATTTAGTTTGTCTGATGCTTTTATGGCTTTGTCCATTTTGAATGATCTTGTTTTGGTACTCTTTTGGCCACCTTCCTCTCTTGGAGCTTGATTTTGAACATCTGCCACAATTGTTGTAATTTTCCCCCTACTATTATTGTTTCACAAACTTTGATGTAGGCATGTGTCTGGGTGAGGCAGGTCTACAGGAGTGATCTGGACTGAGTATGAGAGGAGTTTCCATTTGTGTTGTTGTTGTTGTTGTTAT